AGTCTCCACAGTTGTTGAGTTTAGACCAGTACTGACCAACCTTTGTCATAACCATCGTTAATCCCCCCCCCCCCCACCTTAATCAAACGAGTTTACCTCCAAGTTCCGCCTGACCACAGACTGTTCCTCGCGGGCATTCAACAACCACCGTCCTGTCCCCACTTCCTTTTCTTCTTATTGTTCTAAACCATGTGCTTCCCAACCAGGCCCCCACTAGGGATTCTATCACAAATTTCTTTCTAAAAATTAAATCTTTAAAGAAAAGTGTTATTTGTTTTTGTTTTTTTTAAATAGTTTTTTGATGAAAAGAAATTGAAGTTATCTTAAGCAGGTTTCTTTCCTCAAAGCGCCGTGCGCGGAATAATTGAAAGAGAGATTTTTCAAATACACAATTAGAAGCTTAAACCCTCTCAGGGAATCCTGTAGTTCGAATTACGCAAATTGGAAAAGCAGTGCCAATTTGGCAGGCGATCTGGTGCGGCAATGTTTAGCCACTGTGAATAAATGATGGGCAGAGACAAGAGAGGCAGAAGGACAAGGCAATATCCTTCAACCAGCACACTGGGAAGTCCTAATTGGACTACAAAGGAAAGCAGCATCGCAGTGTGCTGGCAAAACCTGAGACATCCCACCAGACTGCTGCTTATTGACTGTTCAATTTCACAGACGATCGGGCGGGAATCTGGTCGGGGGAAACAGGACGCTATCGTGTGTGTGGGGACTTACACCAGAGAGACTCGACAACGCCACCAACTTGTGCACACATTCATCAAACATTCATTTGTTCGATGCCTCAGACAACAACACAGGCAGAGCGGAGAGCTGTCTCTTCAAACTTCTCTCTCTGCAAATTGGAGAGGGACTGGTGAGGTGGTGAGGTGGTGAGGTGAGGCGAGGAGGTGGTGAGGAGAGGACTGAGGAGGTGGTGAGGAGGGGAAGTGGTGAGGTGAGGTGAGGAGGTGGTGAGGAGAGGACTGAGGAGGTGGTGAGGAGAGGAGGTGGTGAGGAGAGGACTGGTGAGGTGGTGAGGTGAGGTGAGGAGGTGGTGAGGAGGAGACTGGTGAGGTGGTGAGGTGAGGTGAGGAGGTGAGGAACTGAGGAGGGTTTATTGATAACTCCGTGGTGAGGTGAGGGATTGTTTAATGTTTCAGTAAGGTTTTACGGCACTCGCAACTGCATCAGCTATCCCCGTGACTTTATGCATCCCGCATAATTTAGCAAAATTTGATCATTTTTTGCATAATTTTTGTTTATTTTCCTTTATCTTTCTTTGTTTACTACAAACAGAATCGAATAATTCCATTTGGGGG